CGGCCGCCCGCTCCGCCTGGTTGTCCCGCTCCGCCTCCGACACTTGTGCCGCCGTCGACAGAGTCACCGCTAGAGCCTGGCTGGCCCGTTCCGCTTCCGACTGCGCTGCCGCGGTCGCCAGGGCTAACGCTAACGCTGCGGCTTACGCCGACGCAGCGGACGCCGCCGCTACCGCCGCCGCCCTCGCCGAACAGGCGTCCGTCGCGGCCCGCACCGCCGCCGAAACGGCCATAGAAGCTCGCGACGCGCTTGCTTTTAGCGACTCCATCAACGCTGTGGCGAGAGCCTGATGGACAAACAGGGGATCGGTCCCTTGCCGTTTGGGGGGGGGTGGGGCACGCAGCGGGGGAAGGGCGTGTAGGCGCTCGATGCGAATGAGAGTCTCAGGCAGTGGGTAGGGCTCGAGAAGGTGGACGCCCTGGGCGAGCCTCCTGAGCAGAAAGGCTTGGGTGCGTGTGTGCGTGTGTATTATTTTTGTCAGCATTGACCGTGCCAACCGACTGACCAACAATAAAAGTCAGTCCCAGTGCGGTTGAATACACATGTGCTCTAGAGGTGTGTGTGCTTTTTTTTTTAGTTAGCGTTGACCGCGCTGACGGGCTGACCATGAAAAGACGTCGGTTTCAGCCCGGCTGTGTATGTGCGTATGTATGTGTTTCTTTGATAGGCATCGACCGCGATAATCGGCTGACCAATCAGCGGAAGCCCGTGATTTAGCGGGATAGAATATGTCAACACGTGATCGGGCTCCCCGGGCAGGGGGGGCGGGCGGGGGGCGTGGTCTGCGTGTATGTGTGTGTGTGCCTGACAACAACGGTGCGCTTTGCATTTTGCCGAGCAAGCGCAAACGCTGCTGAACGAGAAATCGTTAGAACAATGGATTTGTCCGCTTTTCTCTTTTTGTGTTTCCGTTCCCACCGTAGTCTGTCTGTGAACAATAAATTGTCCAACCGAACTGGTCTCGTCGATTGTGCAGCCGCTGTTTGGCGGGGGTGGTGGGTGTGGTCGATGTGGTAAGCTATGTAGGTGCAATTGCATGTGGCAAGCACAACGTTCACTTTGCTGGGATGGGTCCCATTTACTGCTACTTTTTTTCGTCTTTCGTCTTTTGTCGTACACTCCGATTTCCCCCCGATTTTTTGTTTTCCTTTACCAACACTGGCATAGTCAGGCGGCCGCTTGGAAACCGACGCGCGTGTTGGGGAACACATAATATTTCGAGGTATTTAGTTATGATAACATTTTTGAGATTGTCTTTCGCAAGTGAGCATTTAAACATTAGTCTGCATGGTAACACAGTTTTTCTGGTAAAACAGCAGGTTTTGTTTCGGTTTCGTATTGTGTTGGAGAATTTCGTGTGCGCTTGCGTTTGTTTCAACGAACGTCTGGCGAAACACACCAACCGTCAATAGACGGTCGGCTGACGGTTTCACGGGAGTCATGAAGAAAAGAGTTGGGCACGCGCGTCGAATGGGAGCCGGCTGTCAATACGATAGTGGCGCACATTGTTTGCTCTTCTTCTTGCTTTCGTGTGCGGTGTGAAGAAAGGAAGCCAGGATGGTTTGGCATGGCAGATATATAGATCTCTTCGGAAGGAACCACCTCCCTCCGTGTGGGGAGAGAGGCCTTCCTCCATCCATGTGGAAGTCGTGTTTACGGCGTGTGTTGCATATTCTGAGGCAAGCACGAGGTCGTGGGAAGCGGGGGGGGG